TATTTTATTTAACATTTAGATCCTAGAGAATCATGTTAATTTTAATCCACCAAAAAAAAAAAAATTAATTGACTATTGAATGCTTCTGAAATTACATTATCTAGGATATTGGCTATTTAATGTAAGAATGCTGATAAACTTTTGGAATGAGGCTGGTTGTAATAACAAACAGAATACTTTCTTCAACAACCCTCAATCTCAATGTACTCAATTTTTAGTAATCTGAGCAGCTGCAGAATTTATACATTTTCTAGATAAGGTATCAGGCCTGCCTTTGTAATTTCTGTTCTGACTACTTCATGACTCTGTGGACTCTTGACCTCCCACCCGCAGAGCTTATCAGTCCAGAGCAAAGGTCAAACTTTGTCTTAAACAGAATTTAAACATACAAAAAGCATAGGAAAACTCTTAATAGCTGAAACATTTCTATCAGTTTCAGTCCCCAGGGCAACAACTCCAAGTTCTGGAACACCAACACAAGGCTAGCTGGAGAAGTGCAATGCTGCCAACAGGTCGTCTTGGAGGATATAGCCAGAGCCCATGGGAAATAGCCCAGCAAAATTACATCACAAATGGCAGCTCAGTATCCATACTAAATTCAGTGAATCTCAAATGAAAGACACAGTGGTGTTCTCCAACCTCCACTCAGTGGGCTATTTAGGAGGTGAAGAGTTGTGGTTATACAGAAAAAAATGCAAGGGAAGTTGCAGCATTCATTATACAAAGAGACTCAGTGTTATGAAATTGCTTACATTTTTTCTGATGCCAGTCACATTAATCTCTTGCTCAGCTGAGAAATGGGTTAAAAAAAATGTTCTAATAACAGCAAATCGGATAAGGGGTGGGTGTGAAGGAATATAGTTACCCTGGATAATAAACTAAGCCTGTTACAGAGATTTTTTTAGCGCTGACAGATTTCTGCCATCCTCTGTATCACAACAATAGAAGACACACCAAAAACTCTCTGTGCTAGACTACCACAAGTACAAAATCATTTGGAAGTGTATTAGACATACAGGGACATATTTGTGTTGCTGATCTGTCTGGATGGACCCCCAAAAAGCCAGTTGTTTTATGTAGGTCAGCCAGAGTACAGAGCTTTGCATGACAAAAAAGCCACAATACAGTCAAAAAACAGGTGGGTATTTTGACCTTTCTTCTCCATTGGCCTTTATCCTATTTTTGAACTTACTTTACTGCTGTAGTTTTTTTTTCTTCTTTGGATTTTAATTAAACTCTCCTTAAGCTTGCTGGCTTGACATTTTCTTCCTTTTTTTCTTTTCCAATTTAAGAATGAAGGAAGCCTGCTTACCAGGCCAGTTTTCCCCAAATCTCACTGCTTTATCTATAATTTAAATGTGTCATTAATGCACAATATCCAAGTAAAACTTTGTGAATTTTAATCAGGTGGGTATAACAAGCTTTCCAATTATTTTGAAGCTGATTATCACCCATTATGTAACATACACATGGTTTTCACAGCTGTGCAGTAATAGAAAAATCTTAGTTTGCATCTAAGCCTAACAGTATTTAGCTCTGAACCAGATCATCTTGAAAGTGTTTGATGTTGGCTGCCAGGTGAGAACTGGGTCCCTACTAAAATGCAGAAGACATTTTGCTGCTGCTTTCCTTGAGGACAGGATTTCAGCTTGTCACAAGCTGCAAATATGAATTCCTTTTCTCTTTGCTTTTCCAATTTTCTTCTCCCACACAAATCAATCTTACACTCATTCAACTTTATTAGATTTACTCTCAAATCATACTGCTGCAACTGAGAACAGAATCAGACCCAGCAACGCACTTTGCCTTCAAAATAATTAGCTGCATACTGTACAGTCCCCCATTTCTGTCCAGCTATATGTGCTGTCCGGAGAACCTATATACTGAATTTCCACCAGTTGTGCAACAGAGTCCTTTAGTGTTATATCAAGGACTACCCTGATTAGAGAGAGCCTTATAAAGACCAAGCACCACACTCAGATAATTCATGTGCATAGAATCCACATACAGACCCAAAGTTATTGACCAGACAGAGTAAGTTTTTCCGATCATCACACCGTGCAGTTTTTAAAATAAAGTGCTATTTGCTTATGGCTAAACCTTATATGTGGCTATTGCATGCACACTTCAGGCTGCATTGTCAAAAACTGGAACACTTTCACCAAAAACGGATGGAGCCTAAGCACTAGGGCAATGACAGGTTTGGTTGTTGGTTTTTTTTTTTTCATTTTATTTTGAGTTCCAACAGAACTTTTGTCAAACATAGAGCACGTGAACACACAACAGTTTCCTTCACTGTTCCCCACACAGAGCTGTTCATAGAGGAGGAATACTAAGGAGGAATGTTTCTAAAGCCATAGACAGCTTCTCCATTTATTTCAGGTTTTGTTTTGTGGTTTCTTTCTTTTTTTTTTTTGTTTGTTTTTCTTTCATTTAATATTGTGACAAAACATTATAAGAAAAACTTTTTTTAAGTAATGTGAATATCAAATAGTATCCATCAATCCCTGAATCATGCTATTCAAAGTGCTTAAATCTACACTAAAAATAGAAGAACAGAAAAGTACTCCCCATGTGGCTAAGGAAACACCTACCGATCGTCTAAATGTGACTGCGGTCGGATGATTACATTCTACATTTATTCCACATCCCAATCTTTACCCCAGGGCATGTAAAGGGGAGGGAAAGGGGAAAAAATAATGCATTGCTTTCAGAGGATACTGGGGTATCTGGCATCCGGTTGAATGAAGGAAAATGCCATCAGTGCCTGACAGGTGTCTGTAAGCAAATAAATAATAGCTGTCTTACACTATGAAAATAACCGAATGTGCAAAGCTCTCTTAAAATTTTATCTGGCCTGGCAGCTTCATTTCCATTTTGTGGATGTTTGGCACATGTCCAGAGGGACACACTGTAATAAAGAACAGATTGTAGAAACGGACTTGAGCAAATTGTCAGAGAAATAAACATTTTTAAGCAAATAAAAATCAGTGCACATCCCAAAGCTCTAGTAGCTTGTTAAGCAGATACTGAGATTTGACTTTCACAACAGAAGCATAGTCATTTCCTCCCACACTGTCCGTTCTGGATTACTCCCACAAACATCCCCCAAACTGCAGTTTACCCGCTCTCTACCCATCACTTCTCATTAAGAAGACCAAAAATATTATAAGCTGTACTTTTCTCATTGTGACAATCGGGATGAACAAACCCCACACATTCATTATATTGGCCAATATCATTCAGCTACCATAAAAATACCTAAAGCTAATTCATTACATAAATAGACTATAATGTCTGTTTGCCAGGATACCAGTTACATTTCTGCCAGGGTAAATCAGACCCATGACTATATGACAGTGTGCTGCAACCACTAACTCTACCCCGGCTCCTCTGCTTCTGCGAGCAGAGACTAGCAAAGAGCTTGGCCTGAATATGTTGTGGAGCTACAACACCGCTCCTTTCTCTTTCTAAAACCAGAAAGGACTTTTCCATTATTTAAAACATGAGTAAGTTGCTGATTCCATTTGTCTTAAAGATGTCTAGATGTAAACATAGTGTTTCTGTTTTTTTTCCCTGGCAGCCGTGGTACACACATTATTTGCAACTCCTCAAAGATAGAATCATACATAAAAAATAAAACTAATTTATTTATTCATTAAAGTGAATAAATTGTTTTTAATACTTCCAGGTCTGATTTAAATATTAATTTTGTATAAATAAAGTTTATTTTGAAAACAATGATATTTGTTGGTATTCATGTCATTTTTTTCTGCCTGAGTTCTTACTGAAATCATGTTGAAATTAATAAAGTTTTACTTATTGTTACAAGCTAAAACCAAATGAAAGAAGATTTCTTAATCCTGAATATATCATTTTAAAGCAAATACAGTTTTTTTGAACATTAAAATACAAGGGGACTCTGTAATCCACAGCAAAATAATGTTTTGCTCTTACTTTTCCAGAAAATAACACTTTCTGCAATACAAAGTGACAAACCATCTACAATACTGTCTTTTTATTCCCCTTTGGTTTGGAAGTCATCACTGTAAATATCAGCGGGACTCTCTGCACTTCAGTGCCTATTGCCCCACTTGTCTTACTTGCCTGACAATTGCAAATGATCTTATTTGCAGGATTTTGAAAGGGGGGAAATAAAAAGTTAAATGCTTAAAAATAAAATCCACAACCACATGAATGTTTTTCCAGGAAGTGTTAAAAATAGGGTTTGCTTTTATATTTATAAAAGGGATACAGTCAACTCATTCTTAAAATAATAATTAAAAATAAAACAAACCCAAGAAATCAAAAACCGAACCATGTCTAGTTTCTACACACTCTGTAGTGACTACTGTGAAGCAACCGATACAGATTGGGTATATTCTGTTGTTTGACAGGTATCTACCAAGTTACATGTTAGATGATCAGATGGTAGTGTTACCCCGAATGGGGGTCATTGTAAGGGCAGGGAAGGAGCAGTGCACATTACAGGAGTAGAAATGAAACTGGAGCTCTCAGTGAGGGATGGGGTCCTTCTAAGAACAAATATTCTCCAAAAGAGGTGAACTGCAGCAGGCATGGCCTTCAGGAATCAGGCTAGGCAGGCCAACAAAATGGATGGTGCTTCTGATATCAACGTAGCTTTGTCCAAGCATTCCCAAGAGAGGTTAAAAACAAACAAACAAAAAGTCTAAAACTATACTAATGAAGCAAAAAAGTTTCCTATCTATACAGCAGTCTCTTCATTTAAAAAAATGTAAATATACAAATTCCAATGACATATAAAACAAAGTTGAAAATGTGAATGGGAAGAGACATGGGTAAAACAGGAAGACTGATGCTACAAAGAAATTGCAAAAACCGTATGTACAAGACCCTGTTTTTCCTCGTATGTTATCGATTGTAATGCATGTTTAACAGCAGCAGTCGAGGATGTAGTTCCAGGCACTGGACTGCAGACTCAGCCTACTCAAGGGGGTTGATAGCCCCTTGCATTTCGGTCACCAAATTACACTTGATATACTGGTCTCCCGTGGCAAGAGGGGCAGTATCGCACTGTTTGTGTGAGCCTCTTCTGGATTCTGCTCCCTGTTAGTTTTTGTCTGCGGCCGCTGCCCGTTTATAAGTGTCATAGGGATGTTGCAGTAGGTATGCTGGTTACCTATTGAGGTAAGCGGCAGGGTGCCGGTAGGAGGTACATCGTATTCATAGCTTCGATAATAGTGTTTCTGGCGCATCTGTGAATGATATGTGTTATGAAAGGTGGAGCGCAGGTCTGGATGGGCAGTGGCAAGAGCAGTGGAGGTGGCAGCAGCCATGGAAATTGCGGAGACTGTCTGCAGCTCCCCAAAGGGTCCCTGCTCACTGACATCTAAAACCTGCTCGTGTGTGATGGGTTCAATCCTCTTAAAAGGCATTTCGTACTGTAAACGTTTCCAGAACTTGGAATTCAACTTGTTGCATTTTGGTCCGTGCCATTTAATGACAGTGAGGAGCTTGATGGTATGTTTCAGGGCCTCGACCTCCTGGTAGTTCATAACTCCTCGTAGTTCACTGCATTCAATCAGTATCACTTTGATTTCGCCCGTGACTAACATGTTTCGAAGCCTTGTTTCCAGTTCAAAGATACTCCAGCCTCTTCTTACCACATAATTTGGAGTCATGACGATGATCAGTCGCTTGCTTTGGTCTACACATCTTGCCACGTCTTCAATGTAGGCTACAAAATAAGACAAGTGCTCAAAAATCAATCTAAGAAAACACTCTGCTCCCATAGACTGGGAAGAAACAACAGAAGCAAATCCCTGCTATCAGAAGAACTCACTGAAATATGCAAAAACATCACCTGCAAACGTGCCAGGTTGGCTTGCCAGGATGTGGTCCTGGGCAACCTGCTCTAGGTGGCTCTGCTTGAGCAGTGGGGTTGGACAAGATGACCTCCAGAGGTCCCTCCCTTCCAAACTCAACCACTCTGTGATCCTGCAAAACATCTATTCCCCCATGTGCTATGGATTGTGAGTGTTTGTTCATAGCTGCGGCTTTGTATCAATATCTATATCTTTATTGGAACAAGTGTGTCCATCAACATTTTTTCCTTTAAAAAGGCAAAGTCACCCAGGTAGGCAGCAGAGCAGCAACTATGTGCTTCAAGGGCTCAGTCTCAAACCTAAATGATACCCTAAAGTGTACTGTAAGGTTAGATTCTTGTTTTCCTTTCATGCCGCCACCACACACATTCACAAAAATGGTGGTGTCTCCTGCAAATTAATGTTTAGTTTGCTGTAGATTTCAAAAATACCCATGCAATTATGTTTGATGTTGTGCTTTGCCTATACCAAGCATCCTTCCTTCAGTAAAAGATATTGAACTTAGTAGCTGTCTATATGGTTACACTTAAGGTATGAAGAATAAATACTACAGCAACTTACAAAAAATTACTGTACATAGGTTGGAATATGTGAAAGAAACATGAAAAAGATCTACTTGTACCAGTTGGAATCAATTCTAATTTTCAGTCTCTGGGAAGGATCCAGTACCTCCACTATGCATTTACCTGCAGTGGACACTAACAGAATTCACTACTTTGCTCTGTTGCAGATGTTATTACTCAACCCTTGCCTTAGTCCAAACACAACTTTTTCCTTCCTGTCTGAATTTCTGTAATAAATTCTTAGAATCATGGATATCTTTCCAGGCAAACTCTAAGGAACAGAAAACAAAGACTTCTGTAATCATTCCTAGATATGCAAGCTCTCAAAAATCTATGAAAAAATGTTAGTCTTATTCATTTCCTTTACTCGTGCATGCCCTTTCTGCACTGTCTCAGCTTCAATTACCAAAAAATAATCTTATCTGGGAAACACACATTAAGTATGTTTGGTGGCTTATTTTCATCATTCCCTAAGATGAGGGAGGAAAGATGACATTCTGAAGGAGTAGGCATAGAAACGATACCAAAACAATCACTGCAATCACTGCACTTGCTGTTTAGGAAACATACAAGCATAAAGACATGACTTACTTCCTGTGGGAATCAAATCTCTGTCTGGTATGAACAACTTGTATCCATAATGCTTTTCAAGCATATCTGGTAGGATCTCAAGAGCAAACCTTTCTTCTTCTCCAGTTTCTTGATTCCACTGGTCAGGATCCACTTTGGTATAGGATAGATATGCATCATAGTCTTTGTTGTCTAAGGAAAGAGAGGAAGAAAGTAAGTCAGTTTATTAATTATTCTTGCAGATTTCCTAGATAATTCCCCAGGAATTATTTCTGAGAGAATTTCCTAGAAATAGGAAGTTGTTTAGATAAAATGGCAAACTTTCACCCAATCTCCAGATATGAATCCATTCACCTTTCCTGTTTCACCTGGTAAAGGTAATCCTTATTTAGAGAGATGCAAGGGAGAGGGGATCCATATCCATAGACTGACGTCAGTTTGCACATAAACATTTGTGTAAGGCTCCGTATGAAGGAAATCCACTCAACTGTGGGGTGACAGCTTGTGAGCACAGAAGAAAAAAGTCGCTGAAACGAATTTGAATTCTTCTTTAGCTTTAAAAGGGAAAAGCATGGAAATACCTAAGCTAGTGTGCAATTGTCTCTGTTGCATAGTAAAAAAATTTCAGTCTTGCCAGATTTTTACTATAAATTTACGGCCTGGGGCTGAAATATTCTAAGCGTATGTGTATCTTTACTTGTAAAACTCATTGGTTTTCCAGGTCTGAAATTATTGCCAAGCTTAAATCTTTGCAGCATCAGCTCCTGATAATGCAGTTTAAATCTCTTAAATTCTATGTGCTTAAATTTGCAAATTTAATGTTGCATTAATGTACATTTTTTAGTTAAGTGTGTTATTTCATTTCAATATGAGAAATAAATATGCCTGTTTCTTAAATGTGCTTGGTGTGCCTACTTGAAAGACTGAATCAAAAGAGCTATCATTAATTTTCATTAGGAGGTCAATAATGCCAAGTGCTCTGGAACTAATTCAGTGAAATAAGAGGTCACGTTTTGACTTTTGTTGTGAAGAAAGCAGAAAAAAGTCAATGGCAAGAGAAATGAAATGTTAACATCCTTTTAAGTATCTCGACAACATTATGCACAGGCTATGGAAAATATCAGTTGCTTGTAAAAGAGGCCTGACTGAATACTCAACTGTGTGTCTTAAGTAACGTTATATTCCTTCAATGCCGACTTCAGTTATTTACTGAGCCTTTCCTCATTTTATACCTTCTGAGGAACCATGCATACTATGCTTATTAACATTTGCAGATGACAAAATTAAAATGGTAAAACTGTAACTACTTTCAAACTTACCAAACCTGTGAAATGACCGTGTGCTCATTCTCTCCCCTGTACACTTTTTGTGTGATATTATCATCTATTGGATTGTTATAGCCACAGAAAACAAAACAAAACAAAGCAAACCAACAACAATAAAAAAGAAAAATAAGAAAAAGAGAAGTAATGCCTTCTGCGGTTCTCTCTTTCCATTATTTTTCTCTGGAGTATTTGTGAAACTGTGATCCTTCACAATAGACAAGCACCTAATGCCTTTGACACTGCCTTGAAATAACACTGAATGGATAAAGTATGAGATGGAGGGAGATTACATAGCAGGGTTTTGTTTCTACAGTAGGACAGTGTTAACCCAGCAACTGAGTTAACACACAGAGAGGTCAAGAGATATGTGGGGAAATTACGACAACTGACAAAATGGTGATGCGGTAATGCCATTTCCTGTGGTCACCTTAGTAATGGTCATAACCATAGTACATGCCTGAGAGCAGTGTTGCTCTGTTGAAAGTCTTTGAGTAAAGGTGAGAATGTATCATTTCTCAAAGGGATCATTAATAAGAAATAATGCAGTGTTCAAACTGTTTTAAAGGCTCAGAGTATTGTTTGTTAAGATAGTTTGCACATTCTTACTTAGAGGGAAAATTATTCATGCTATGCCACTGTTTTCTTGCATATGTAAATATTGCATTAATGCATTTATTTGAAATATACATTTTTCATACCATGGAGGCTCCAGCATTTCCACTGACTACAACTGCATTATTCTGTATTGCAGGGAACATTTCTTTCCACCCTAGTTCCCTAGTTTTAATAGCATTTGAAGGGCTATGAATAGCCAGGATCTAGGGTATGTTTACACAGATGGGTTCAGGCAATCATGAATTTATTCAAACCCCAGTCCAGCAAGATGTGTAGTCCAGTTTGGGAAACTGTTAGATGCATTAGCGCAGTAGTTTTCCTGAGCTATTATACTCCCCATCTGTCAGTTATTTTTAACTTTGTTTCATGAAAAGTAAAAAGTTCAGTTTCCAGCAGAATTACCTTATGTGGTAATTTTGTTATCTGGTGGGCTGACATACTGGCATGAGCAGACAATTTGCAAAATGTGAAATGCCTGGGATGATCACATATGCCTTTGTTTTACTTATATGATATTTATGTGTTAGCCTGCTTTTAGTTAATTAAAATTATTTGGGTTACATTGCCAACTCTGTGAAACATTTTAAGAACTACCGCAGGCAGATAGCTACGCAGCCATCAGAAGCTATCTTTTCTGTGATGTGATCAAAGAGCAATGGCATTATTTACTGTTTTCTCTAATTGTTATGGATAGTCAAAAAATGTAGAATTTCAATTGTAATGATAAATGGGAGAACTCATAAAATTGTTGAAATCTCCCATCTCTAGGAAAGTATTTAAACACACAGTAGATAACGTCTCTGCGTGGGGTTCTTCTCAGTTAAATGGTCCCACCTACTGCTGCTTGTAATGGGTGGGACTGATGCCTACATTCTAAAGAACATTTCTGATCTTAATTCATGTTTTTTAATGTGTTGTCCCAACGGAATGAAAGGGAGCCTGAAGACATCCAGCTCTTACGACTGAGTCAAACTCTGGGAGCTGGGGCTCGCATCTTGCCAGTCTGTTGGCCATGTCACATGGAAGCAGGAGGCTCTCAGCTTTGCCCTCAAGCCCTTTGCTCTCAGGCTGTTTTCCGTGTAAGCCTTCCTTTGGGCAACACATCCAGGAGTCCTCAGACTCTCAGCAAGCATGCAGGAAGTCCATCATAGCTTTGTGTTTTCTTGACCATTCACTGGAACAGGTATTTCACCCGTGAAAATATCTGGTGTCAGCACCTCTGCTTTTTCTAAGAAAAAATCACTTCATCACAAAATTCCTGATCTGCTCCTAATCACAAATCAAGTCATAGAGGACTTTATATTACTAATTATATTATTATGTAGTACGATAATAACAGCTTTGGCTACACGATAAGTTCAGACACTGGCTAGATCTAATATTCAGTGCCAGAAAAAAAATGCAAAAATCCAAATTCAAAACAAACAAAGCTGGTGGAAAACAAAGCTTTTCTTTCAAATGAGAATTTCCTTATTTCTCTTCATCAACAAACAATTAAGTCTTCTACCCAAGCATCCTTGGAATGAAAATGTGATTGATTGTTGCTTGCACTTTAACTTTAGATATAGATTATGCCATTTCAAAGATTTGTTTTTGTCAGGCTCCTGTGCATTAGCAATAAACTGGAATATAGTTACTCGCTACCTGTTTCCTCCCACACTTAGGAAGAAAAATACCTGCTAATAACCAAAGGCAGGGATGTTGGTCATTTCATCTGAAACTTTTTTTTCTTTCTCACGGAGATTGAAAGCCATTATCTAGATATATTTTTGTACCTGAAAGCACTCTTATTCCCTTAACCATTTCAGGATTCTTTTTCTAGAAACATATCAGAGTAAGTTCATCTTGCATTGCCTCCAGGTATGTTGCAGAGCTGTATTACTTAATGGCTGTCCTTTAACTTAGTGAACACAGCTGAGTGTGACATACAATATCACGCAACAGCAATACTTTGAAACATTTTGGTATAATAAGTTTCCTCTTCCCATTATTTGTGAATGGACAAGTAATCCTCTTCAGCTATGTGGTTTGTAGTTGCTTTCTGCTGCCTACAGGTAGTATACAACTAGGATGGAGCTCTTCAACTCAACAGCCTCCATTTCTGTGAAGTTTTTTTATATGCATTAATTGAAAATATTGAAACAAAACCTAAAGCAGACCTTGGATGGCCAAATTCAACCAGACTTGATGCAAAAAATTCTTTGTTATTGTACTGTAGACAACCATAAGAGCATGTGGAAGCTCTGGATTAATTCATCACAATGGGGTCTAATACAGCCTGTGCTCAAGGTATGATGCACTCAGTACACAAATGTTTCAAAACCACTGGTACTGCAAGACTCTGCTCAAAACAGATGGTGAGGTACATACTTTGCCATTTCATTTTAACCATTCTATGGAGTTGAAAATGAGGACACTGAGTAATGGTCATGGAGCTGTGCTCAGCCACAGGTCTGACAAAATTGTTTGGATTGGTCTTAGGGGTTGTCCTGGTTTCAGCAGGGATAGAGTTAATTTCCTTCCTAGTAGCTGGTACAGTGCTGTGCTTTGGATTTAGGATGAGAATATTGTTGATAACACACCGATGTTTTAGCTGTTGCTAGGTAATGCTTACACTAGCCAAGGACTTTTCAGCTTCCCATGCTCTACCGACTGAGAAGGCTGGAGGTGCACAAGAAGCTGGGAGGGGGCACAGCCAGGACAGCTGACCCAAACTGGCCCAAGGGACATTCCATACCATGTGACGTCATGCTCAGTA